GAACAGTAACTAGATTCGTTACCAAGAGCGTGTTCCGAAATATAGTGGTGTTTAAAATCTATGAAATAGTTATCATTATCGGCCCTAGTCGGCGAACGGCCAATGAGGGATTAATAGCGAATAAATGTCATAGGAGTCAATTTTTTATTGATCCCAAATAACTGTAGTAAATTTCACTTTAATGTGATCTGAAACGTGTCTAAAACGAACTGTCAAATGAAATTCAATTAGGCATTCCAAACAAATGAATTACCAGTGGGCAGGTTTGGTATATCTAAATGTGGCGACATATGGTGTATTCTAGCTACTTTACGTAAAATCATGAATAATGGATTACATTTAAATATTTTATGTCAAACACAATAAAAATAATATTTAAAAAACCCACCTATACATTTCTTCATAAATTGGCAGGCTTGGCGAGTACTACTTCGAATAAAAATAGCTTCCAAGTTGCAAGACTATGTCGCTACCCCCTTAAATATACAAGAATTTCCCACTGGCACCTATTGTTTGACAGGTCGTTGGAATGCCTAATATGGTCGTTGATTTGTTGACGTTATAGTTTATCAGATATATTTTTTCTTGCTTTCTCCACGCCAGATTTGGTCAAACCACATCATTTTTTTAAACCAATCACAAGAGAGTGTCAAGGCCCTTTACTCAAGGGCACACAAGAATTTTTTTTTTAAGAGAGAACTATTCGAACCTTTAAGCAAGCAAGCAAGAACAAAATCAATCTCAATGCGAAACGGTAGCAATTGTAATATTAAAAGAAATCATATATAGAGATCTTCTAAACCAGCATGTCTTGAAATTAGTTTTGTTTATGTCAAAGTATCACTCAATTGTTATGTGTTATTGAATACAAAGTTTATGAAAGTTAAAATACACCAGTTATCAGAAGCAATCACTTTAATTTCTACATTCCACAACAATTAATTTATCAACCTAACAGCAAGATGTTCTACAAGGTTCCTTATTTATATACAGTCCACCCTATAAAACAGAAGCAAGTCTTATGCAGGCAGCAATAATTTAATAATAAAGGTAGTGATTTCTAATGAGCCTAACATCTATGGACATCTATGGCTTAACTGCAGATATCGATACACATTAGTGAACCTTGTCATTGCCCAGAAATTATTGTTAAAAATCGTAGGTAAATAGAGTGAATTATCATAAACCCTTATCATTATATTTTGTGTTTTAAAATTATATACCGTGTTTTTTTAATTCGCAATAAAGTTGTACTTTGAATGAAAAAAAGCAATTTTTATGGAACATTGCGCTAATGGTTTATTCGATAATGGCAAAACTGGACACATAAGCAAGCATCCGAAGTAACATTTTTAGAATAAAGTTTTATTTATGTTTTATTAAGATTTTGTAAAAGCATAAAAATTAATAATTATTTTATTACAGTTATTTGTCTTGCTAATAGGACTGCAGGATAAATTGATCTTATTACTTGGCTTTATAGATTCCTTTAATCTGTTTAAGAAAACTAGTTTATCCTAAAGTAAACTATGCTTTATCGCTGTCCTATAAGGGTTAATTAATAAGTATTTTTAGAATTGTTTAGTTTGAAGATACTCCTAAGGTATGTTTGGTGTTAAAGAGGCATACTTTTTAGCAGTTATCTTAAGTAGGTTTTAAAACTTAGTTTTAAAAAGTGTTTTAGGATTACATTTTAAATTAAATTGATCCCAGAATCGTTTAGGTACATTTTCTACGATTTTACAACATAACTCTTATAATTTATTTAATCTAGTAAACGATATGACTCTTTTAAAACTACATAGTTTTAATAAGAACTAAAGTTTGTTTTAGAGCAAAACCGAGCTTTTCAACCCAATCACATTATGTTGACGTTGAAAGATACATTGTTCAAAATAAAGAAAAGTGGTAATTTTCATAGAGAATGAAAAAAAAATGTATATGTTTCTCCTTCTCCTCAGCGTTTAATAATTTCATTGTGTGCCATTGTTTAACAAATACCAAAGAAACATTCCGAGGCTCCTAATAATCTGGAAATGATCAGTGAAAGAGAAAAATGGTTAATATATTATTACTAATTTTTATATTTTGAATGACTTGTTCGTAGAGTAAATAAGAAGCTCAAGAGTGAGGTTATATTATGCCCTTCTGATTGAACTTATGAATGTTCTATTGAGGTTTTCGTTTTTACTATTGTTTTATGAAACGATTTAAAATGTGTAGCAGGAGCTTTTTAAAACTAGAAAGGCCTAAAAAGTATTTTTTTTGCTTTATTAGTTTTATAAGCTAATGTCCGTTTTTAGGTAGAGACAGAACACAATGAGAAAATCCTCCATTTTAAATATGGCAGTGGCTGTTTAACCACATATCATGTAAAAAACTAACTGCCTACCAGACCTAAACCTAAAGGATATTCAAATAAATTATGGTCAAAGTTCAAATATAGCAGAAGTAAAAGTTGGAAAGGCTTTTGCCAGTTCTCCCACTTTTTACACATAAATTGACAGGTTTGCGGCGAATCTCACCGAAGTGGACTTGATACATTGGCGTACAAAATTATTTTATAGATGTTAATAACAATTTCGAGTAAATAGTATAATAAATTGTGAATAGCTGTTGAAATTTTGTAAAATTATGATTTGAATATTATAAATACATGTTAAATAATTATTTATAGTCCATAAATCAAGCGATTGTCCAGTTCCGCCGATAACAATTTAAAATTACTTATTCTATGAAACGACACTGGCAGGTAAACATTACTGCGAAATTTTCGAAGCCGTCCGACGTGGTTTGACCAAAAGCCTTTCCAACTTTTACTTTCACTATAATTCGATTTTAGTAATGACGCATTTTGTGTACCAAAGACAGTGATAGTGTGTCAATGACAACAGTGTGCTAATGACATGACAGTAGATTTATTATTTATGATTGCGTTTCAAATACTTTGATTTTGTTAATCCACATAATGTCAATTTGTCAAATATATCTACTGCTAATTTCTTTTAGGGTATATAAATGTAATTTATATTGGAACATATTGTAATATAATGTTATACGACTCTTGCCTCGTCTAAAGTAATTTATGATTAAACACAAAGTTTGTTTCTGATAGTCTAGTAGGCAGTATGCGCAATTGAAAATGTTTTTCTGACGATAACAAGTAGCCATGCAAAGACAAATCTACAATAGGATTTATATTGGCGGTTAAATAGTCACTTCCATGAAATAATTTGAAAAATACAAAATGTGATATTTTATATGAAAAACATTTTGAAGACAAATTTTATAGTGTTATACAGGGTGTAACTAAATAAGTGTAAAACATTTAAGGGGGTGATTCCTCATCGAAAAAAAGATAGGATCTTTCATATAAAGAAACTTCATTGGAGCATCCCTTGTTAAGATACAGCCCCTTAAAGGAGGTACATAAAATTTGTTTAGCTGTATTACTTCAATTTCAAAAATTTACAAACTGATTTCAATGTAATTGTCAGTATCGCTAATAGCGGCCTACTAGATAAATTAGTTTTGTGTTTTCGTTTTATGGCGATATCTATCTTGTTCGTAAAATAATTTTTTGCTGCGAACTGGTTTATTTTGGGCAAAAAATTCAAGAGACATTTTTTGTTTAGAATGAAACAAGCTATCGGAAAAAATTTTTAAATGGTAAACAAATAATAAGATAAAAAGTTACGTTGGATCGAAATTTTAGGGGTTGCGTTTTCCACCCCTTACAACCATGGGGTAAACCAAATAAATTACTGGCTAAGTGTCTTTTTGGTAGTAGAAAATGTCAGGTTAATTTCAATATTGTAACTTGTTTAGTGCTTGTGAAAAAAATTGGTAAACAAATTTTATGTACCCCCTTTAAGGGGCCGTATCTTAACAAGGGATGCTCCAATGAAGTTTCTTTATGTGAAAGATCCTATCTCTTTTTCGATGACGAATCACCCCCTTAAATGTTTTACACTTATTTAGTTACACCCTGTATATTCAAGATTTAAAAATGGTTTATTAAAATTCTTAATATACTCTTACGGACTTTGTCTTATGTCTAATTAGTTTTAAGATATTGTTTTAAAAATACTCCTAAAAACCGTTATAGGATTCTCCCTTTTACTCTTAAAGCAGATTTATAGCAGCCCTAAGGCTATCTTGCGGATTCAAAAGTTTTATCAGTGTCTTAAAAAAGGGTTTTATGGTTACCTTGTATACTTTGATAAATCTAAAAATGTTGGGATCAGAAAACTACTATAAAATTTCGACATAAAACACGTACTGGAAGAAGTTATATTGAAAATTTTAAATCACAAAGAAGCAGGTATACCTATTAATAAACCTCTGGAGATAATTATTGCTAAATATGGACTATTTACAAACACAAATATTATGATCCACCGGATTCTAAGTGGCTATGATTTAAAATTTCCAAAACTCTGTGGTGTGGTGAACATTATAGTATAAAAAGTATTTTTTCTAATTTTGACATATAAAGTGACATTTTTTGTAATCGCATTAAGTGTCAGTTTGATATACTTTATGTAACCAGTTAAATTATTTACGATTTGTAGTGTGTTTATATTGTTTATTAAAATTATTTAGTTTTCAAAAAAATGGGTTATTTTGTCGTGTATTGGGTTTAAAGTATTTTGTGCTGGTTTGGACTGGAAAATAAAGACCAAAACAACATTATTACTAAGTTGTAAGATTAATTCTATTTTTATTAGTCCAGCTGCTCTTCTATGATATTAACTTTCAATATAACAGTTTATATTATTAATGTTAAAACCAAAAAAGCTTTATTTTTATTTATTTTTTCGCAACTGGTGACGTAATAAATTTTTCGAAACCAGTTTTATATCAACATTATGCAACTGGTTGCGTGAAGAAGATCATTTTGACACTTGCTGAGATTACAAAAAATATAATTTTTAACTGATAGCATAAATATCTATTTTGCAAAAATAAATATATTAAATTATTTTCATGAAACTTACAATTTTATTTTTTTCACTGGAAGGCACTGTTGAAGGCAATTTAAGATCGGCTGCTACGAGCATATTCTCTTCAACAGTCAATAGCGGTTGCAAACGATCGTCCTGTGTAATATAGCAAGAAGATTTTCGAAATTGTTTCAAGTTTCTTGTCCTTCCATTTACGTAAACCGTTCCATTTACACCTTGTAACCGGTAGCCACTAAGAACATCTAAGAGTGTACTTTTTCCAGCTCCAGATGGACCCATAATTGCAATAAGCTGTCCTGGTGGAAACCGTCCCGTCACTCTGTGTAAAATTTCTTTTTGACCTGCAATGAAAATGTTTAAAATAAAATTTAAATTATTAACGTTTTTGTAAATGGTCGCTTTTTAGGAAAATAAAAATGATATTCTTTCTGCTGATAATTTTTGTTTGTATAAATTCTGCGCCAATGGAAGAAAAGGGGATTTAGTATTAAATTTGGATTGCTTAACGCATTTACTACAAAAAATAAGACTCGATGACCCTCATGATTTTCGCGAAATTTGTATTTTAATCACTTGGAGTGTAGGTCTTAGAGAAAAATTTATTTACCTACTAAAACATGAATACAAAATAAATAAGCAGCTTTGTACTGAGGTATGTTTTTGTAAAGATTTTTTACAGTGCCGGCCTGTGTGATTTTGTGTTGATTTATTTTATGTTGGCATTAGAAAACTGTTTTTGAGAGTTTTTTATGATAAAAAATGCTGTTACTCTATTTGGAAGACTCATTATAAAATTATCGATAGTAAAGAGCGAGGTATATGGTTTCCCAAATTGTCTGCAACTGAAGTCAATTATTTAGAGAAAGCCTAAAGATCCTTTTAGACCGTCATATCAGTTCTCAGTTCAGTTTCAATTTCAGTTCAGTTGTGATTTCATTTGTGGGAACGCTGTCGTTTTAGACGATCAGTTTGAGTTTTCCTTTGTCGTGTACATCAGTGATGGATGAAGATTCCCTAATTGCGATCACTTTGTGCTTAGTACTGAAGGGACCACGAAAGAAAAGAACTAAATGGAGCAAACATTGGCTCCTAAAAATAAAATTACTTACTTACGGACAAGCGAGGATGCATATCAAGAATTGCTGTACCTACTTAGATACATCAATTATAAAAAATCTGATGTGTTCAACACATGACTTTCCTATCTAGTTATTATAGGATTTTTCCGGTTATTTTGTACAACCTATTGTAGCACCTCTATAAATGTTTAGAGGATAAACTAAATATATACATTTTCCACATACATTTTTCTATAGATATTAATTGAAAACGAAAATACTGAAAAATTTAAATTTAGCACTTTTCCTCCATTTTTTTCATTACGGTCCATTTTAGAAAAATCATGTAAAAAACAAAAATTATAGAGATCGATATCCTAAACAACTTTTAGTTTAACAATTTTCATAAAAATTAGAATATTGCACATTTTGTCAAATTTCTCGAATACCGACCATTTTAGGAAAATTTAGCATAAAACAAAAATTATAGATAATAATATTATAAGTAACTTTGATTTAAACAATTTTCTTCTCCAAACATAAATAACAGATATATTCCATAAAATAAAAAAACGACCTTCTATAAAGTACCCCCAGATGTTCCGACTTTGTCCAAAATTTAATCATTTTACCTCAGGCCGAAATAAAACTTAAGTTTAAAATTTAATGTTTTCTTCAAAATTCGTAATTTACACATTTTAATAAATATCTCGAAAACGGTCCATTTTATAAAAATTTTGTATAGGATAAAAATTATAGAAAATTATATTACAAACAACTTTTGTTTTAACAATTTTTATAAAAAAATATTTTTTTTTTCATTTTGTCAAATTTCTCGAATGCGGATCATTTTAGTAAAAGTTGGTATAAACCAAAAATTATAGATAATAATATTGTAAGTAACTTTTATTTGAAGAATTTTCTTCTCCGCACGTAAATAACAGATATATTCTATAAAATATAAAAATGACCACCTATAAAGTACCCCTCCCAGATGTTTCGACTATGCCCAAAATCTAATCAGTTCATTGGAGGCCGGAATAAAGTTTAGGTTTAAAATTTGGTGTTTTTCTTAGTATCCGTTCATGAGTTATGGTGGATACAGACATACACACACGCACACACACACGCACATACACACACACACAAACACACACAAACACACACACACACACACACACACACACACATACACACACACACACACACACACACACACACACACACACACACACACACACACACACACATTATACACATTATACATTGGTTTTCTTAATAAATTGGAAATTACTTACCTCTAGAAAGAAACGTGTACAAAAATGCGAGTTTGGTTCTATAAATTGCTTCATGAAAAAAATAATATGCGAACATTCCCCCCAAAGAAAATTAATTAAACAACAAAATCAGACTCAAATAAATAAACGCGCACGCACGCTCGCACACACACACACACACACACACACACACACACACACACACACACACACACACACACACACACACACACACACACACACACACACACACACGAGAGAGAGACGTCATCGTGAAAATAGTCGAAACGGATTCAGGGGACCTCAAAACGTAAAAATCCGTCGAAAACTGGAGGTCGAAAAAAATCATGATTCCTATACTTTCCTTATCTGTATACAGATAGGAAAGTAAAAAGCAAGACATAAGAGGAGATATATCACCATATGAGAAGTTAAGTACAACACTAAGATTTTTGGAAACTGCGAGTACTTTCCAAAGTCTTAGATTTCTTACTGTAATAGTATTATAATATCTGAAACTTGTAAAGCTATAAAAAAAGTACTAAAAGAAAGTCGTGTTTTAACAGGTTTGTTTAAACAACGATCAGAAACCAGTCATTACCACTAGTATTGTGCGCAGTATGAATTTGGCGGTCTAAATAATCTACTGCACAGAATCCTGATGTCAATGACTGTTTTCGGATCCTTATTGGAACAAACCCAACATAACGATATTTACAAATCTTCTGCTATAGTCTATTTTTATGTATGAGAGAGTATTAAAATAATAAAGCGTTCGTAATCCATAGGCGTATTACTTTTTTTAGTAGGCAGTTAAAATATTTTTTGAAGTTATTCCTCGAGTATACACTTATATTTTCACCTAATTAACCTGCTTATAACTTCTAAACAGCTGAAGGTAAAAAAGTGCAATTTTTTCTAAAATATTTTATTTTTCCACAAGGTATGTTAAGAACATTGTGTCAAACAGGTTATGTAGGTATAAGGGTTTAAACTTTGACTTTTAAACAACGTTACGTTCATAAATAATAATTTTAATATAAAAACTACTTCTTACCTACAAATCCAAATTAGAATCGAAATCAGAAGATGAACTGTCGCAACCAATATTTACAATGAGTGGCTCGATCATTTCATCAGTAATATTGTCCAACTTCCACATTTTCTCTTCTTCTTTAATTGTATGATTTACTGCCTTTTCCCAGTTTTCAGGCTTCACATTATTTACAGCCTCCAAAAACAACTGTTTAACATCACTCATTTTAAAAGAATTATTTTTTCTTGAAACTTCTCCCTTTATCTGTTCCCATATCAGTTCAATCGGGTTTACTTCGCAATGATATGGTGGTGATCTAACCACCGTCATCCCACGATTTTTTGCAATTTTATCAATTTCATATTTTTTGAATTTCTCTTTATGAAGGGAACACACATGATACAGTTCTTTTCTCACAGAACCGGGATGGAACTTAATATTCTTTGAATTTAGCCAATTATGTAAATCTTTTTTTAACCACTTGGTTGTGGGCATTTTTTCTATAAGTCTCGAGTGATAACTTGCATTATCCATTACTATTATACAGTTCTGAGGAAGAAGATCTATAATTTGTTCGAACCCCTCTTTAAAGACATGTCCTCATGGTAGTCACCGGTACGAGTATATTCAAAAGTCAATAAACCACCTTTAACAAAACCGTTTGAACTACTGATGTGTACTATTATTAGTCTGCACCCCTTTTCTGATGGTGGATATAAACCAGTAGATAAATTATTTGAAAAAGCCTGTCTTCGACTTGTAACAGTTTCATCTTGCCAAAATTTATTTGGTTTATGTCCCTCGTTGATCCATGTTTCATCTAAATAAAATATATTTCTTCTTTGGTTTCTCATTTCTTTTATAGTGCTTAGGTAATTTCTTCTCCATACTACAATATCGCTTCTTTCTATTAAAATAGACTTTCTGGAATGCTTTTTCCATATAAAACCGATTTCTTTTAAAAGTTTCCATAGTGTGCTTCGACTCATTTCAGGGTAATCCTTATCATCTCGAACCGTAGCAAGAACTTTGTCTACTGTCGGAAATTCTTTTCTAAAGAAGAACGCATGCACTTTCCTTCGAAGTCTTTCTTTCAAAAGATTTTCTATTTCAAATTTTGGTTTTTCTGGAGCTTTACGTGCTGTTTGAAACTCACCACATTTCTCTTCTTTAACAAAACTGTAAATCGTAGATTTCCCAACACCAAGCGTACTACTAACTAATTCCACTGTGTCATCAACACTTTTACATAAATGTTTGTCTGTAAATGATTTAAAACAATTAAATATTAATGTTTTTTCATTAACTGTTAAAGGACCGATTTTTTGTCGTTTACGCGGCCCTTTTCCATGATCACACTAGAATTCACACTGCACCTTGCAAGTTGCAACTAAACGACATTTAGTAAACTGTCAAGAATACACAACTTGGACCTCCTTACTAAATGGAAAACCTAAAATCGCATTTTCGATTAAATTTGTTGGAAAGGTATTTATCTACTGATAATTCGATTACTGTAAGAAATTCTTGGAATTAAAATAAAACAAAATTGGCAAATAGGTACTTATTGAAAATAATCTTAAGATACGGCTATGTAATCTTTAATACACAGGGTTTTTGGCCTGTCCAAACCTTTTTCTATTGTTCTGTACAGATTATGTTTATAAAGGACCAATAAAAGACCCAAAACTTGTAATAGCTCAGGTACAGTTATTACAATTTTAGGAAATATTTAGATTATTCTGTAAATATATTTAAAATGACCGTACTAAGTTTTGCATTAGAAATGCTGTTTTATTACTTTCTCATACATAAAAATAGACTATAGTAAGGGACGTTAACGGACAAGTTTGTTTACACATTATTTCAACTGACAACTGAACGTAAACTTTTGGGGAATCCATCGAGCCACAGCTCCGTGACAGTTTCAGTTTTTCTTTCGTTTTTTTGTGTTTACAACTGAACTGAAA